ATATACTATTTATAAAATATAACAAAAAAAACAGTAAACATAAGTGATGTGAGAGTAATATATTAGAAAAATAAATGCTTCCCATGTAAAAAATTTAACCTATTAAAGTGACTATTAAGTACTTTCAATAGTTGATTTTTGACAGAGAATAGTACTTATAAGTGAACTTTTTTAAGTATTTTTCATACTTTTTGGCTAAAAAGTAACAAACCATACTTTGGTAGGTGGGAAAAGTATTCTAAAGTACTATGCAAATTGAAAAAGAGTAAAAAAAGTCACTTTATTTTACTTAATTAACATGAAAAACTACTTATAAGCGAACTTTGTTCACTTTTTTTTACATGGGTTCTGATTATTTAGAAAAATAGAATTGATAATCGATCGTAGTCCTACTGATAATGGTACAATAATCTGAAAAATTTCATCTTTTAGTGTTTGAATATATCGTAAATATGTTCCGACAAGTAGAAGAGAATTAGATATTTGTTCGGAATAGTTCTTAAATATACTTTAGTTGTATAATTAATATTAGTTGAATACCTATATGACGAACTAGTCAAAATGATATAAAAAAGATTTATAAATCCTCAAATTAATACAAAAATAAATCTATATAAATTTTCTTTAAGAGTCTATATAGTCACACTGCTAGAATATCATCAATGGACGCTTGAGACATGATTTTTCCAGACTTATCAAAGTATTATATCCGTTGAAACCGTCGGGATTACTGCCATGTGTAGAATGAAACTGATTTAGTACGAACTACACGATTTGAATCCACCTGAGATTTTTTCCGTATCAATCTAAGGGATATATATATATATAGCATTAACAAGAAGGAAAACTCCATAAAACTAGTTGAAGGAAAGAAAAACTCCATCGCATGCACACATATGACAGAATGGAAAAATCCATGACGTATGAATGATAATTAGAGAAAAGAAGAAGCAGGTTATAACACGAAAGTATAAAAAATGCAGTCGTAACGTTGACTTAAAAAAGACACGAAAAAAATTTGAAACTTCAATGACGTTTTAAAACGCCACCCATCCCAAGAAGATTAACAAAGAACTATTCAATTATTTCGGTTAGACATGCACCACACCCGAAATGTTTAGGATTTTGGTTCAGATATCGAGATTTTCATGATATTACTCGTTTTATGTTTTCAAAAATAAAATATATCATTTGTAATATTAAATCACATTATTATTCACTATGATATTTGAAATTAATTGTTGTTAAGTAAACATTTTTATTTATGATAATATTCATATCATTCACAAATGACTTTAAACCATATAATAAAATATCACTTACCGTGATTATTATTTGTCTTCTTTCAAAAAACATTATTAAATGACTTTCAATTAAGAACTGTAGGCAGGATAAAGAACATATAATGTGACTTTGTTCCTTGTCATATAATAAAACAAGTGGAAAAAGTGACTTAATTTTATCATTGTCGATATGTGTGTGAAATGTCTATAAATGCATCTGCCTTTCTTTTTTTATAATCACACTATCGTATATATATATAAATATGCAGAAATTATTTTCTATATATCATCATTCAAAGCCACAAATTTATAGAATTTACAATGTTCTTTCGTGTACTCTGTTTATTAACAATTACTACTTACCTTCAAGTTCAATGTTATGTCCCTGTTCCAAAATTATACAAAAAAGCTGAAGTGGCACTTCGTCGTTATTCATCAAATACGAACCATGATGTAATTATATTTTCGTTACTTAATGTTCTTGTTTATGATAAACGAGCATCAGCATTTATTAAAACTGAAGCAATTGACAAAGCTTTAGAAGATGTCAAAAAATACAATGTACGAGATGCAACTACTTTACGTCGATTTATTTATGGTAAAGAAAATTTATTAAAAGATAATCAATTAACAGCTGATCTAAAAGAAGACGTTCTATCAGCACTTAACGTGTTTTCTTCTCATCCAAATACTGATGATTATCAAACATTCGATATATTGTCTAAGACAAAAAATTTTTAATAAATTTCCTCAATTCTATTTATTCATTTATATTTGTTGTTTTATAAAAACTATTTATTCACATATAAAATATTGTATCATTTATGTTATTCATAAATTTTCTAAAAAATATCAATTATGTTTGGCTATAATGAAAACTGTTGAAGCTATTCAAAGGCGTTTCATCGTAAAATGAAGACAAAATTCTAGAATATCTACAACGAAACTAATGTTTATTTTTCTAGTTTTATTTAAATGATTTGAGTTGATATATGTCAGCGTTCTCATATTCTGATTCTTGTTGATAAACTATGTTGAAACTATACCTTCACTGATATTCAAACTCGAAGAGTTATGAGCAGTTTTCCACAAAATCTAGCCTTGTTTATAAATCTGTATATGACTTGTCAGAGTTGATCACTTAGAGTATAAATGTGACATCAATTCAGTAAGAAATTTGAAGTTTTGATGATACTTTTTTTACCCATTAATCCGAGATTGGACGTAATCTCAGTTTGGGTGCTGTCATATACAATAGTTAGATTATGTATAACATAGGGTTGTTAACAGAACGAGAAGTAGATCAGAAAGACAGATGATATGTATTTTTTGCATCCGAGAGACTTTCTTAACAAGTAGAATAACATAAAACTAGAGAGATTTTTTTCAGCAATCAAAGTGTTCTATCAGATCGATGACATCCTTTAATAATCAATCTAATATATTTTTATTATCCAAAATTTAATCAAACTTATAATTAGAATATTTTTAGTATTCAGGAATCTGATACGTGTGAATTGATGCAATAATTCATAACATCTAGAATAAATCAATCCTATATAACTCAACTATCCTGATATATTTATCCTTTCTGGTTCACATGATATTACGTTTTTTTTAATGAATTACGTGATTGATATCCGCAGAGTAAGTTGTAAGGTAAAAATAGCTATTGTAGCTTTTAGTAAATATATATAAACCTCCGCAATTAATGTTAATTCTTGATAAAAACCAGATGAAATGTAAAAGTACTATTAAATATATTACTAATGTATTAATAGAAGAACTCAGTTGAGAAGAACCTCATGATTAGATTAGAAGTTAAATATTTTTATTGTAATAAACTAACAGAAGGAACTAATACAACGCCTGTTTATTATATAAATACTATGTGTAAATTACCAGTAAATGATTTTCATAGTAATGACGTAAAATGAAATGAATTACTGATAATTACACCCACGAAATTGAGTAAATATTATTAAATGTTTACTTCTCATATTTATTTTGACATTGCAGTTGATAAAAAATTTTTTATCATTAAAAAGAGTTTATTTTAGACTGTAAATTGATTGATCTTTTCTAACACATTAATGTATTCTATTCATACAGTGTGTAATATTGATTTACTTTGTTATAAACGCCGTTTTTTTCTTGTGTTGTCACATTAATATCTATACTAAGTAGACTAACTATATCAGATTAATAACTGAAAAGAAATCAAAATGAGAATATTTTCATACTAAATAAAAACAGTTCTTTTTATCGTTTCTCAAAATTCAAATATATATTACTTTTTTTATTCATATCGAATATTCCAAACTAGAAGTATCTATTGAATTGTGATGTTTATAGTAATAAAACATTGCATAGCAACATGATATAGTTTATACATATTTAATAATCTTTATTTTTATTAGACTCTTATTCCGTTGTTAAAATATTGTAGTATCAAATAAAATTGAAGAAAAATGAAAGATATATGAGTTATTGTTAGATTATATCTTTCGATTTCAAAACATTATTGCTTAAGAGGACTTACGGAAACGTCGACCAAATTATAAGAACTCGTCACACGTCAAAATTTTGATTTTAAAATAAGATGTATCATTTGGAATCCGATAGAAAACTATGCTAAAATCCTAATTTTTAGTGTTCTGCAAAATCTCTCTCAAGAGTACCCTTGTATTTTATTTCATAACATGTGGCACTAGAACAGAATGAAAAAATTGATAACATCACATCAAAAGTACTTATTATGATCGGTTGGAAACACCTCCTTCGTGTAACAATACAATATTTACTGAATATCAAAAGTCACACTCTAACTTACACAATCAAATATTGATGAGATATGTGGGTGCTATCAATATGTGTTATCGACACTCACCCACTCACCCTTTCTACGAAGATTTATTCAAACAAGAAATTGAAAAATTCTTTTAGATATCAATTAAATATTTTTGAACTCGATGATTGTTAGAATCAACGACATAAAGATTTCCTTCAACATCAAAGGATAAACCACTGGGTTCAGACAATTGATTTGATTCAGCTCCTTGTTCATTTCCACCAACAACAATTTCACCTTCTTCTTTTTCTTCACACCAACTCATTATTCGATTATTTCCCCTATCTGCCACATAGATTATGCCTAAATGATCAACAAACACTCCTTCAGGATTAGACAACTGTTTGAGACTGCTTCCTTTATCATTTCCACCAGCAACAACAATTCCTTCTTTTGCATCTTTTCTCCATTTCATCACACGATGATTGGAAAAGTCTGATATATAAAGAGAAGAATCTTCATCAATAAAGATATAAGTAGGATAATAAAGTTGATTAAGTTGATTTCCATTTCCATTGCCACCAGCAACTATCCTTCCATATTGTTCTCCTTCTTTCCATTGTCTCACTTCTCCCTTGATAAAATCAGAAACATAAATGAATCCATTTTTATCTATTGCCAGACCGAAACAAGCAATATCAGAAATAAGAATTTGTGATTTTATTTGATCTTGGTAAAACCATCGAATCACTCGCCTGTTCCCTCGATCACAAATAATCAAAGAATTATTTTGTTTGTCAAAAATCACATTTGTTGGGGATTTGAACTGATCATTTCCATTTCCATTTCCATCTGCAATGATCTGGCCATTCTTCGAATTAAAGTTCCATTCAACAATACGATGATTGTAATAGTCAGCAATATAAATTGTTTTTTCATCATTTATAAAGAGTCCTGTAGGAAGAAAAAGTTGGTTTAATTCGTTTCCATATCCATTTCCTCCAGCTACAGTCATTCCATTTTGTTCCCATTTAGAATTGATCATATCTAAAACAGATGAAATTTATAGTTACAAATATGTTGAGAGTGTGCTTAAGAATGTTGCATCTATCATCCACCGATCCACTTACTTTCTTTTGGTGGACAGATACGTTGATCAGCCATTGCAACTGGATAACAAAGAGGACGGTCATCACATTGAGGATGATGAACACAGATCTTATCAGATTCAAGACATGAATTGTCTGAAGAATTACATGGTACAAGCCGAGAACATGTGGGCCAGAGAAAGCCACAAACACCTATATCATCATTAACACCCATCATATGAAAACATCCACAAGCAATATTTGTCGAACATTCACCGTATTGAACTGTTTTCTCACATATTTCAGATTTGATCTGAACTATAAAAGTGTTAAACTAATGCATATAAACATATAGAATAGAATAGAAATCAAACCTGTTATACTAAAATATAAAATCAATCAATATTAACAAAATTAGTAATAAAAATCAATAATTATTTACCTGAGAATAATGAAAACAATATAGCAATGAATGTTGATTGTAGTCATAGTTGATTTTAGAATAAGACAATATCATGAAAAAATGTATGTTCTTATTTCAAAAACATAGATAATATCTTAAGTCAGTTTAATTGAAATATAAAAGATGCATTTATTCACATATCAGTGGTTGGAAATTTGATATTTCTTTCATTGCTTTTAATCGTGTTCTAATACTATCTAATAGCAAATACAATAAAAATGTAATTAAAAAATATCGTTTTTATCTAGTTTAAATATGAAAGATATCAATAACATTGGGCGTGCACAGTTTAGAGATCCGCATTCATCAATTATAAAATTTTCTTTTCTTGACTAAAATAAAAGTGATGTTTATCAACAATAGTTATTTTTAAATTATAATTTCATATACGCTTTTGATTTATAAGGAAAAATTTAGCATTTACTGAATATAGTACAAAGACTTAGAAGAAAAGTAAATTTGAATGAAAAGAGTTTTTGTAATTCTTATGTGACTTGACCAATATCTGCAACAAAATCTCCAACAACTATCTGAAATGTGAGTATGAGTACCATGTTCATTTCAACTACATCCATCTTGATATCTGAAGATCTAAGTAAAAAGCTTTTGTCGTACACTATCTGTATCTACAAGAAACTATCGAAATTCATTTCATTTAAGGTATTTGATGTTTTTAAACTATGAGTATAGTGTTTTTTATTACCGTTGAAAGATCTTCTTGTGTATCATTTAACATGCATTTGAGTAATAATATCCTCTTGTAACTTGCGATTATTAACGATACAAGTAAAGAAGAATATAACAGGATCAATCCAATTGAGAATTCGAATGAAATCTCAGAAAGAAATGTCTTCTGCTTTATATATAAAGATCATTTATTTCAGTAGCATTATAACAAAAGCATAGTACCGACATGAATGGATCTTATAAGATCTAAACAGTTGATAGAATCAGATGAAAAACTGATCGGCGAAATCATTCATAGATTTCAATTTGTCAAATAAACCATATTGCATATAATCAGTCATAGTTCTTCAAAACTATACTAACGATTAATCATGAAAATTTATATTATATTTTTCTATTCAGGATATTATTTTTTCGTGTATTAAATATGATTTATTTCAATATTAAACCAATATTTGTTCTTGATTGCACTAAGATAATTGATTTAAAATTAGATACTATCACCAAACGATTAGTATCGAAAAATAAACAAACAACTCAAGATCGTTTCAGTTTTAATATATTAGTTAATGAAGCAAAAAAATAAGAATTTTCTATGATTTTTTCTCATTATATTAAATATTTTTAGTGTTCAGAATTACTTGATTATCTTAGCTTACCAATTATACATGCTGATGGTGAAGCAGAAAAATGATGCGTACAACTAAATTAAATGAATATAAAAAGAAAAGAAAAGAAAAATAAATTCTTTCTATTCTTATTTTTTTTATATAATTAGGTTTATTGTTGTTGTCATTATATATGATAGTGATTACTTTGCATATGGTGCTAAGACGATTATTCGAAATTTTGGTATTGATATGAAGGTAAATGGAAATGTTTTAAGAAGTATATATATATATACTTTTTTTGTTAGTCAATTTCATTTGATATTTATGATCGAAATGAAATTGAATCAACATGTCATTTTAATCAACGTTCATTATTAACACTCGCATTAATTCTTGGTTCGGATTATGATAGTCAAGGTATACAAGGTATTGGTCGTGAGAATGCACTAAAATTTCTTCAATTAGTACCAACAAATATTGATCCTGTTGATTATCTACGTACAGTTTTAACACGTAATAATCCACAAAACAAATACGAACAAAAAATTTTAAATATATTAAAAGATAATAATAAGAAAAATTTAAAAAATCTTGACAAAATTGTTAAAGAATATTCATCATTAGAATTAGATAATTTACCACTTATTGTTTCGATTGCATCAATTAAATGGTTAAAACCAGTACGTGTTAAAGAATTGCAATTATATATGAAGAAAAAACTTGGGTGGATTGAATCATATACATTTATTAAAGTAAGATATTAATTAGAGCCGGTGGGGGTGGGTATGGGTGTGGGTGTGGGTGTGGGTGTGGGTGTGGGTGTGGGTGTGGGTGTGGGTGTGGGTGTGGGTGCGGGTGCGGGTGTGGGTGTGGCTTCATCCTTTCTTCAGCCAGATCTCAGTCCCACATTGTCACCTGCACCCACACCCTCACCCACCCTCAAGTTATTTATAGTCCCTGAAATATGAGAAGTTGTCTTTTTCTTTAATTGCTCATACCGTATATGATATTAAGCATTGTGTCATCTTAATTGGTACATTTTCATCGTACTTAGCATGATGTTTTCAATATGAATTTTTTATTTTCAAGGTTTTTCCATTATTAACTCGTTTTCAAATACTTTATCGTCTTAATATGCTTGAACTTGATGTTGATGATGTTCTTTCTCTATCTGATACAACAATTTTTCAACCTATTTGTATAAAAAAACTTCGTCTTCGACAATCGAAACAATATTATGAAATTGAATGGAAACAACATGATTTACCATCAACACAAAGTCTTGAAGATCAATTAGCTAATTTATCAATTATTGTCTTAGATGATGATGATGATGAAGAAAAATTAATCACAATTGAACCTGCTAATCTTTTTTGCCATGCTTATCCTGATATAGTTAATAGATTTGAAACATCTCTATCTAAAACAAAAAAAATCAAAAAATTAAATAATGATGATAAATTAATACATAAGACAAAAAAATCTAAACCATCATCATCATCAACAACAGTGAATGCTATGTCAACATCAATGTCACTTGATTTATTAAGTATGTTACATAATGATACTTGTCAAATGCCAATAAAAAAACCAAAATTTAATCATCGATCAACAATGGCTGCATTATCAACTTCAATTAATCTTGATGTTCTTAGTGTATTACAAAAATCTACTGGAAATATTAATTTATTAAAAAAATCAAAATCACGACCAATTAAACATAAAACAAAATCAGATATGACTATTCAAAGTTAGAAAATCAATAAATAAATACATTTTTTCATTTTCTTGTTTCTTTAGATCGAAAACCTGTTACACTATTAAATACATCATTATCACTTGATGTATTAGATATTATTTTACGTGATAAACAACAATTGAATGATGATGATTGTGAAATAACAGCTATATTTGTTAATAAATCAAAGATGGATGAAAAGAATGATTTCGTACAATTATCTTCATCGGATGATAAGATTTTACCTCTTCCACTTTGGGATCGAATTCGACAACGAACAGCTGTTTAATCGATTTCATATTCGTTTCGACGTGTTTTTTTTTCTGTTTATAATGTAGATCCAATGGATCCTTTTTCTACTTCTGCTATGTCAGATTTTCTTCCTGTTTTTTTCTATCGATTGAGAATCATAATCACGCTTATTGTAATACATGACTATAAATATGTAGATATGTATCTAAATAATCATTTGAGATTCGTTTTAATTGATAGAAAAGAGTGAGTATCAGTTGAAACAAAAAAATGAATTTCTTTCAAATTAAATAAAATAAATTATATGCAATAAAATAGAATTTTTTTTCTTTTTACATTGGTTTGATTCTCTATAATACTCACGTGATAAATATGTAAGTAGATGAATATGAACAGGTAATTCAGGATAATGAATTGAATCGATAAAGAGAAACAGAGCTGGATGGTATTCGAGTTACACTCGACTACGAAATGCGATGCGAAGCTCGATATCGAAATGATAATTTCAAGATTTTCAGACATTTCTGAATATTCATGATTATCTTAGGATCGAGTGAAATCTATATATATATTGTCAAAACACCGGCGACACCAATTCAACAAATAAGTTTATCTAATTCGAAGGTTTGAACAACACTAATGATTCATTGTTTAATAGTTTCTAAAAAATGCAAATGTCTTGTGCTTTAATGAAGCTGTAAAAAAATCACAATTTTTCTTTATGTCTCAAAACGCTTATCAATTCCTAAGGCAAGCTTGTAATGATTGCGACAGCATTCTATTATAAACATAATTTTTATACTTTTCAACTCTACATCATCAAAAACTGATTATAGCAACACAACTTTCATAAAATAGTTTTGTTTGCTAACACATTTTTTTATCATATTTTATTTATAGAATTTAATAAACACAAAATTTCACTAGTTTCTCAAGTTGTCAGTTGAACTTGACTTAGATCATTAGTATTCTCCAGAAAAAAATCGAACAGATATTGCTTTTATCCTTTACTGCGATCTTATATAATTAATACTATGTCATCTATTAGCGTATACTATTATTTTTCGTTTCTTATATATACATATACATACTATCAGCTGTAACTAAGAGACAATTTAAGACTGAAAAAGTTTTATTGATAAAAGGTAATTTTGTTAATGCGATGTGAAGTCGAATATTTATGTTGTTCTTCTTTGCTTTCTCGATGTACACATCAAATTTGTCATTTTTTATTGTAATCATCTTGTTATTGCATCTATCTTACTAACGTGAAAGCATATCAATGAATTGCAATATAATTAATTGTGTAATATTTGTACTAGTCAATCCATAGTGTTAGTCAGTGCTGACTAAATACTAGTTTGTATTTCCTTCTTTTTCTTTTCTCGTCGTAACAATAATCTTCATATATATATAAATGTTTTTGTAGCTAATGAAAAGAAGAGCCAAAGAAAATGAGGTAATAGAACAGATACCGTTACTACCTAACACAATTGAACAAAACATTTTTACGAGAGAAAACATTGTCGTCTTTTCAACTATCAGAATTTGAAAAAAAATAATTTAACAGCAGTTTATAGATTTCTGGCTAAACTTTGAGAAATGGAAATCATTCGCGTCATCCTAATGATCGACGATTTTTTTCATTTCAAGTCTTTTGTTAGCTAGAATTTGACTTTATTATATGCAGATATTTGAGAGAGTTCGAATCTTCTAAATCTTGTAAAATCAATCCTCTCTTAAATAGTTTAATGAAAATATCGTTGTCGCTGTTGCCATGATACCTTTTTAAAGAAAAAAAAAATTTATATTTCAAAGACCGGTTATGTGAAGTAAATACACTGTCTTATGTAAAACTCCGATCATTATTTCTATTAAAAGGATTCAATGGCTGTTTTCATCTGCGAAAATTCACGGTGAATCGACGAGTTCTCTTATATTTTTCGCAGATAAGATTCTATATTAAGTAATTATTTCAGTTACAACTAACTCATCAATCACAAGAATGATCAAGTAATTATTATTATTCATTTTTAGTTGCATCAGATGAACAATTTGACGATACTGCCGAGTAAAATAGCTCAGACAAAGTGGCGATAGTAAGCGACTTGAGTTATAATCCTTTGTAAACATTTTAAGGCATTATCTAGTTGAAATGGTTTAGTAATAAAGAAAAAAAACATTAAAAATTTCAGTATCTTCGTTAAAACTCGTAATATTTCTTTTCTACAGAGTAGAAAATCGTCAAGAAACACATTCCAGCAGTCGAACAAACAAAGTGAATCATACACACTAGTTTTGTTTCCAGTTTTTTTCTATTATCAAAATGAATCCCTAACATAAATGCGTCAACAATATTAACTAAGTAGTGAAATTGTTTTTTCTTTTATTATCATAAAAGTACGTATACTGAATAATTGTTGAGTTTGAAAGCAATTCTCTAAGTTGTATTTCTAATTACATCACGTTTTTTTTAAACGTGCAGTATGTTTGATTTCTAAATGATGTATTTTCTTTGAGAAACTGCAATTACATATCCATTTTGAAAATGAAAAATATTTTTCCTAGCTGATTTTCTCTCATAACAACATGTAAAAACATTCTACGTCGTCGTTTTGTTTAGTTTCGAGGAAAACACGTTCAAACAAAGACAGTGAATAAAAACTTGAAAGTGGCCCGTCTATTCTTAAATTTTCAGGTATGTTTTTTACTACTTCTAAGCTGGCTCTCGATTCTGATTTCCTTTATTTGTTAAAGTCTCGCACTTTACTGTCTTTGTCTTGTTCATTTCACTATTTTAGTCTACTCCGTATTTTACATATTATTTACTCAGTAACGTTACTCTATGCTTGACGTCTTAAAGAGATGTATGCTGTAGTATTCAACTATATTTTAGGATTGAGATTCTTTGATTAAGGATGTCAGAATGAAGAGCATTATATTGTTTATTACTTATATGATACCGGTGTACCCAGAGACATATTTAGGGGAGTGGAGATGATTAGGGGAATCGATCCTCCTCTGTAAGGTGCAAGTGCTTCGAGGGGATGCGGGATTCGGACAAATTCATTTTTGCAATACAAAAAAATATCTTTTTTTCAATGACGATTTTTCTCTCAAGTTTTTAACTACATCTCCTAAGTGTACCTGCATATCGTATGTTGGATCAAATATTGGAAAAACGGTATTTTTAGAACTTTAAGTTAGAATTTTGTACAGAAACACGTTGTCGGAAGATTGGTTAGTAATTTTTCTGATGAATTATAAAGACATGCAAAAGCTGACGAACGTTTCCAAGTCATTTGGGCTCATTTCGAAAGCAACGGTTGTTTGATCTGAAACTCATAGTGTGAGTGTGAGTGAGTGAGCGTAGGTTGTATCAGGCATGTAAATCGGGTGAATTTTTCAGGCTAGACTAGTCCACATTGGGCTTTGTATTTTTCAAGCCCACCTGATTCAGTTCGACAGTAAATAGTGAAGGTTTTGTTCGAATAATTTAATTCACAAGAAATTCTGTTATATTGCGACTAGGCAGAACCACATGGATAGAATAACATTATTTGAATCATCAAATTCTGATGAATAATTTTATTAAATGAAACATCCATACTCTGAAAGATTCCACTTGTGTGGTCTCGTTTTCACTATTGTATCCTTACTTACAGCTAGCAGTTTTTTATTCACTAAAACTAGGAATGTGACATCATATAAATACTTGTAGTGATGCCTGTACGCACGCAATTGCAAACATTATACAATACTGTTCGTTTCAAAATTGAGACGCTCAATCTTTTCGATTCTCGATCAACCGACTTGGCAAAAATTCGCCGAGAGATTCTCTCTACTCGCCTATTCATTCTTCTAATTATCTTCTCTATTACCATTTTAACCCTCTACACTTCAATCAGTGTACAAACTAAAAGTGCAACTGTCACTTCGCCAACACTGATCCAATACAACACCCTCCAAAAGCAATATCCAGACTCTCTACAATGTCCATGTGCACAAATTTCAATACCATACTCGACATTTGTTCAGACAAATCCAACTTTTCATCAAGTCTGTTCAAGCGATTTTATCTCACAAGCGTGGATTGATTTTGCTTTTGGAACTAATATCACATTTCTATGGCCCATGGATGTGCGAAAAAGCTTAAGCGCCATGTGGCAACTAATTGCTAATTTTTGTCGTTATGCAAATAGTACGCTTCTCGAAGTACTCGATGAATTTGCCAATACGCCATTGGTTAGCTCAAAGCTGATACCCGAAGAGTTGTTACGAATACAGACTTTAACTGCCTTGAATAATGCGCATCAAATAGCACTGGACGGTGTTAATCGATCGATTACATCCGCTGATCGTATCACACAAGCTAGCGGACTCATGGCGGGCTTAGCGACGAACGCCGTTACCAAGCTGCCAATTAATACTGGGCAAACGGATGAGTTCGTATTTACGGTTTCGACTGAATACAAGAGACACGAATCGACGAGATTTTGCTATTGTATACATGACGTATCATGTCTTATGCCTGGTGGTCTTTATTTTTTTAATGAATGGGAAACAAATGGAATTTATGATCTTAACGTAATAGTCCCAAATGCAACCATACCCGGTCTAGTAGTTGATTGTTTGCCAACACAAACGATGTTTGCCTCGACACTAGAATGTTTCTACAATCAGTCATGTTTTGACATTCTCCTATCTGCATACCAAGTAAATATCAATATCTCAATACTTAACACATCATTATCAAGTCGTTTCACGCCAACAACAACCTTAAGGTATCTTGTCAATGAACTTTTTATTGAACAGATCTTTAATGAAACTATTTACGGGTCATATTACGAACAATGTGCTCCTGTTTATTGTAGTTATACTTATTCGCAACGATTTGATCTTGTATACGTCATCACTACTCTAATAGCTCTTTTTGGAGGGCTCAATGTAACATTGCTCTTAATTGCTCCTTACTTGATCGATTGCCTATTGTTTTTGAAGAAGAAACTGTTCCTTCGAAATGAATTTCAGCAGAACGAAAGTAAGATTGTACATATTTAATAATGCACCACATTTGTAAATATTTTTATTTTATTAGCTCCAATTCCAACATTTCAAAATCGTGTCCATAATTTAGTTAAAAAAGTAAAAGAATCAATTGTACAGCTGAACTTATTTGAAAGTCATTCGCTGGATGCACATAGAGTATATCGCGAGCGTATCTTAACACGATTGTATTTGATACTAATGACGAGTGCTATGACTGTACTTATTTTTTACACGTTTTTATCGATGCAGACAATGAACAAAACAATTACGTCACCTTCGCAAGATCAATATGAAGAATTACAGGAACGATATCCAGACACATTACAATGTTTTTGCACTGAAATATCGATTCCCTACGGAGAATTGATTGAAATCACACCTATTTATCATCAAGTGTGCACAAGTGACTTTGTTCAGTCATGGTGGTATCAAAATCTTATTGTTAAAGATGGTTTGTACTTTTTATTTGACTTTCGCCTCTCTGCTCCATCTTATTTTCAAATGCTGGCTATACTATGTGATCTAGCGAACTTGACGACTATTGAAGCATATCATCGTTTTTCTTTTACGAGATTTGTCAATGCTCAAGTTCTTCCCAGTAATCTGTTCATTTCCCAAACTCAAGCACTCATTGATTCGTTTTTAAACTCTCTACAAGCCGATTTTATCTACACTTTGTCATTGATTAACACAGTATTTCAGGCGAATCAGTATGTGAGCGTATCACAGCGGAATACTCTTCTCATTCCAGAGGATTTGTCTTCTTACATCATAGACGGTGAGGCTTCGTTACAAATAATACCGTTTAGTTTGTATTATCCTTTGATTCCTAATGGAACATGTTCCTGTGCTCGAAACCCTGGATGCACTACGGTAGCGGTTAGTGGTGATCTTGAATCAATTAATGGTTCTGGATTAATTGAACTTGAAGGAGTGCATATGGGCTGTTTTATGACCGATGCTGTGTCTCAATCGTCACTTGTTTGCTGGTATAATGATAGCTGCATGGAACAATTACAAACGGAATTTGTCAGCGCTGGTGTCACCATTTTCAATAATGCCACTAAACTCAATTCTTCATTGAGTAGCAATTTTCCACCTGATACTCTAGTGCAAACTATAATCGAAAATGTTATGGCTGATCAATGGCAATCCTCAGCGTCTTATGCGAACTTTTATCAGAAGTGTCGTCCTGCTCTTTGCTCATATACTTATGAAGAAAGGAGTAGTGCAATATTTATTATTACTAAAATTATTGGTCTCTTTGGCGGCCTCAATATTGCTCTTCGATTGATCAGTCGGTTTGCTGCTAAGATCTTTTTCAAGTTTATTCACAAGCGTACTACACAGGAACCACCTTTGGCATTTATTGGTCAAGAAGCGATCGAACGTAAGTAAATGTTTATTTATCACTAGAAAATATTACTCCTACGAGGCAAATGAGAAATTCAAAAGAAGAAAGTTATTGTCTTGTCTCTGGTATTTTTCAACTAACGAGAAAGTGCTATATCCAGGTAGACAGACGAAAGATGGATAATAATATGTTTGTCTTGTCATTCGCCTGTTTGAGTAAGTTGGTTTAAGTGATGCACGATCATGCATTTTCATGTCTTATTCTATTCTGTTAATTTTAAACACCACTGTTATATAGAATCAGATCCGCCACATTATTTTGCCAATTTGTAGTTTGCACTGCAGAAGTTCTTTTAATGAACTCTGGCAAAATTGATGAGACCACTTTCTTTAGAGATTCGTCGAGCTGATCCTAATCGATATCACTTGCTGACACAAATTCGTCACAAACTTATCACATTAAATTTCTTCAATAACAATTCAACTGAACTCCGCACAGTACGCCGCGAACGTCTCTCAACACGGTTGTACTTGGTTCTCTTACCTACTATCATACTGATCCAGATCATCTATACTGTTCTATTAAAAGATACTACCGTCCAGATAGTTTCAATGCCGTCGCAATCTCAGTACGAGAACTTGTATGCATCGGATTTAAATGGATTCCAATGTCCTTGCTCGCGCATATCCGTGTCCTACAAAGAATTTATCACAATTAATTCCACTTTTCATCAAGTGTGCACAAGTGATTTTGTAAAGGACGTCTGGCTAAACTTCCTGTATGGCGGTGACAGTGGTGGTCTCTGGTTTCTTCAAAGCAGGTACGATATACGTGTACGTGGTGTTGCATATTTTCAACTATTGTCATTATTATGCTCTATTTCGCAAACAACTATCAAAAATGCTGTCAATCAGTTTGTTGAAGAAACATTTGTGAGTGCTCAAGCTATTTCTCAATCAAGTTTTTTCGTACAAACCAACGCTACTATTCGTCAATTTAAAACGAGCACTACATCTGAGTTTTCTCGTACCTTGCAACTTATACGTGATATAACACATGGGAATACTTTCATTTCCAGTTTTCGCTTGAACTGGCGCTGGCTGGTAGTGGGTAAGAGTGATAATAGTACGGTGCCCATTGGTGCCATCTCGCCAACTAATAATTGTTCTTGTGGTACAAGGAGCGATTGTGTGCAACCTGGTGGAATCTATATGTTGGGTTATAATTATGGACTGTATGGTGGTATCTCTACTCCTAATACTCAAATGTTTGCTATGCCTGGTTTTAACGTTGGTTGCTCATCAGTTGAGACACTATTACGATCTACATTTGAATGTCTGTATAATCAAACATGTATTGATCAGTTACAGATGTTTGCTACAACAATCTTTCCCACGATTCCTAATGCAACAGATTATATAACGGCCATGAGTTCCACATTTGTCAGCCGTTTTCAACCAAACACGACTATCGTCGATATTATCAATGAGCTTTTTATTGAACAATGGCAAGTAAATGTTTCGTATTCAAAATTCTACGAACAATGTGCACCGACGTATTGTTCATATACATTTGAGGCGAGTCCTACTTTTATATACATTATAACCCAAACTATTGGTATATATGGTGGCCTCACTGTTGCCCTGCGTTACATTTCTTTATATACGATCCAACTAGTATCGTACATTATAAATCGTTGTCGCAATAACAGAGTCGCTTCGCTTACTTAACGTTTCGTCCATAACTTAATACATATAGAAAGCATATGGTTTTACCCAAGCACACTCTCTCACATATGTGAGATTTAAAACATTGTGTGACTTTCATTAAATGCTTGAATCGAAGGACTACTCAGTTTATCTTCGATTTAGAGTTTAGTGAAGGATTAATCAGCGTTTTTTGTTTTCTATATGATCATGTAACTGAATTAATACATAACCAATTTATTGTAAAATTTAACATCTGAGCATAAATAGTTATTTTTGATCGATTTCTTAGACACAAAAAGTGCAGGTTTAACGCGTTTCTCATCCAGTAAGACTTATATGATGCTCAGTTGTTTTGGCTTTAATCATCGTCTAAGAGGATATTAATGACATTGAAATTTCATCGGATAGTATAATAATTCAAAGAGAAAACTTCAGATAGTTTTCGAAGGAGTAAGTTAAAAAGAAATATTTGTACAGTAATATGAATATATTTAAGGAATCTGTCAACGAAGTTTACATTTTATTTTTCTCGAGTATAACTATATCGAGTAGGTAGAATATGCAACTGTAAAGTATAAGTATTCATTATATAATAAAGACAACAAACTATAATTTTTTTAACTGTCTATGGCAGACAACAATATTTGTAATGCATGATTATATGATCAAGTTTTATTGCCATTTATAATCACATCTAAATCCTGACATATACCATAAAAAAACAGTTAATGATCAGTGCCAACAATGGACACTTGTATAGAATGATATTTTTACGAATGATCCTCTTTTTGTTTCAGTTATCTCGAAATGTGAAAAAAGTCCATAGTCAAAATTGTATTTTTTTGGACACTTGCCGTAGACGAACTAAATGGCTCTGTTGCAAATCTCAAAACGAATGGTATCAGTTCGATCTTGATATATTTATCTCGTGTTTAAACGAGCATTTTCTGGCGTTTCGTTCCTGAGATCATCGCGGTACAAAATCACAGCTTTTAATGTATACGTCGAGAAAGTAAGCAAGGAAGAAAACTCGCACAGAACTACATAAACGGTTTGCTTCACATCGCATTAAATACTTTTATATCATCACAGGACAGAGTTCATCTGATGATAGATATCTATAATAAGGAAATAAAGGAAAATCATTGTTTCTCTTTTTAATGTTACAACAAGGACAAAAAACAATAACAATAGTATGCAAACAAACGTTGTTTTTTTAAATCTAAAATTATGGTATTAAACTATCAGATATGCAATTAAATCGTGAATCATGGATCTAGAAACTACGTAAGACTTATATATATATTTATATTTTATTGATCAACAATTAGTTGTAATCTAGTCAAATCTCATGAAGGAATCTCACCAAGTGATACTCTCTGTTTGACCTCATATTCTGCCCATATGTAGGGCTTATATAGTAGATAGAAACTCCAAAACGGTTCGTGCCATTGCCAGGGTTGCCAGATGCTATAGCTAAAAATCCGGAATTTCTTTTTTAAAATCCGGAAAAATCCGGAAATTTTTTCTCAAAATCCGGAAAAAAATCCGGAAAGACCTTTAGAAACCATTTTAATTGATTAAACTTCATTTTCTTAACCAAAATATCAATAGTCTTGTTCTGAAGCTCCAAAAAATATATATTTCAATGAAAAAAATGTCAAAACATAGTGAACTTAACAAATAATAAATCATAAACTATACATTTATATGTTAGATAATACGTTGTTTTTCTAATACAATCTTTTTCACTATAGTGAATAAGTTTTAATAGACCCGGTTTCGATAGAAAAAAATCATAAACTTGTGTACAAAGTATAGATGCATTTAAACGAATTCTCAACTCAGCCGCAATAAGATCTGTTGACATTCTATTCCTTTGATCAAACATTCTGAATTTGAAAAAGAAAGATAAAATCAAAATACAAGCGACTTTATTTTTGCTATTGTTAATAGATTACATAAGAAAAAGTATAGACTAGGACCGAGAAAGACGATTAGTCGTCTAAAGACTAATATAAGGAAGCATAAAACCTCTATTACATCAATAGAAGTTTCTAAAATATAAATAAAAATATATATAAACAGCTAAAATGCAATTTTTTATATGAAAAATATCCAAAACCGGAAAAATCCAGAAAAACTTTCAAAATCCGGAAATTCTTCAGAAATCCGGAGAATTCCGGACGCCGGAAAAAAACCGGAAAAAATCTGAAAATCCGGAAGAAATGGCAACCCTGGCCATTGCCCTCTTGCTGTTGAGATATTGTGTTTCTAAGGTATTAAGATAACCTAATGCCGTGGTCCCCCTCAAGGAAGTAGGAAAAACTAATGTTGTAATTTTGACTTGAAACTTTGTATACAATGAGGTCTTACTGAGAGTAGTTTACTGTGAAAGTTTCAGTTTTGCTGAATATTCATAACTCTAAAAAGGAATACCATATGCTAGCTCTTGTAAGCGATAACAGGTGACATTAGATTTTCATAATCGTATCTCTAGATAGAAACAAGGAGTAAGTCTAAAACTTTCATAGTAAACTACTCTCAGTAAGACCTCATTGTATACAAAGTTTCAAGTCAAAATTACAACATTAGTTTTTCCTACTTCCTTGAGGGGGACCACGGCATTAGGTTATCTTAATACCTTAGAAACACAATATCTCAACAGCAAGAGGGCAATGGCACGAACCGTTTTGGAGTTTCTATCTACTATATAAGCCCTACATATGGGCAGAATATGAGGTCAAACAGAGGGTATCACTTGGTGAGGTTTCCTCGTCAGATGAGAACGTCCGAAAAAAGTAAAAATTTGGAGTTAAGTATAACTTTTTACGATTCTTCGAATGGTATGTCTTAATTGAAAATCAAAATGTTGACATATGTAGGCTTGGTCGATAGTCTTAGCGACCCTCTCTTACTTATTAGAAGGTTATTTCAATAGAAATAAAATTTTTTCAACAAAGTCAATATTTATACTGTAGATCTCTGTACGAATACTTACTGACTCTAGCCAATTAGCATTTATTTCCCTTTATGGGCCATAACAGACTCCGTATTATGAATAATATCATGCGCACTATCACTGATATGCAGAATATTTAAAAAAATTTGGAATGATGATAAATAACTATGACATACTTATATAAAAAGATCGATATTAAATAGCGGTTAATATTATCTATTCACGTCAATACATTAAAAGCTATTCGATGAATTCTACTGAAATTAGACAAAAGAATACAAATCGTACGATAATTAAATTTATTCTTTCACAAAGTCTTCATAAATTGTAGAATTGAATATTTTCATTGATATTAATATAGAGTGTATTAAAG